AGTTTGTTCATGGGGTTCTGCTTCTCTTCTGATTCTTGCATTTTTCATTTGGGGCCTCAGAGGGTTGCGGCTTTTGTTCTGAGAACGAGCGGCTGATACGAGGCGTAAGTGAGCGTGAAATCATGACTTCGTTTTGAGTGGTTCTGATTTTGGATGCGTTTTGTCTTCTTGTTGGGTCTCCGAATGTGAAACAGAGGATAGAAAAATAGATTCTGGCCTCTATGAACTCGTTCGTGCTTTTACTTACAAGTTTGGACCTGGAAGTTACTTCAAAATTCGGGTTAAATCATATGTCAGAGGCTTTATTTTTCTGAATTCAATACTTATTCTTCCTTCTATTTGTCTTTGCCTTGATCTCTCTGCATTTTAATTGATGATGGAGACTGATTATTTAATTGCATTGGGTTGCAGTTGCACAAGCAAAGCGTATTATTTTTGTCTGATATAGACAAAACTAGAGCATCCAGAGGACAAGAGTATGTGAGTATTTTATAAGAATTAGCTTTTGTCTTGGTTCTTAGTAGTATCTTATCTTATTAGCTTCTCAAATCTCAACGTTCTCATGAAATTTCTGCCACAGAATATCCCCCTCAGGACCCAGTCATGTACAGATCATTCATGACATGTGATGATCCAAAAGGAGTCGTGGAATGTGGGGCAATCAGAAAGTCCAGGTCTGGATCACAGAAGATGAAGGACAAGATGAAGAGCCGGAGGACGGCTGAGAAATCTGAAGCATCTTTTCCAAAAAAGTCAGACAGAGAAGAAATGGTCCCAAAAGGATCCACACAAAGTTCTGTCGATCCATCTTCCTTGCAGCTTATGGAGGTCTCTAGAGGGGCTCAAAGGTTGAACAACATGATTGATACATGGTCTAGGGATAGGAGATGTAATGGAAGGTCTGGAGATATCGCAAAAGATTTGTTGAAAGGAGCTCTTGATCTCCAAGAATCTCTAGTCATGCTTCGCAAGTTGCAAGAAGCTTCACAGCACAAGTCCTGTTCGAAGAAAAAACAGAATGAGAAACCTCAAAGAGGAAGAATTGATGCAAAGATGATGGATTACACTAACAAAGTCAGTGAACAAAGCTATCCAATGGGATATGAAAGACCTTGCCTTTCTGTTGATGGTTCTTCAAGAAATTGCACAGAGGAGCTTAAGAAAGTGATCAAAGACAGTCTGGTTAGGCAAAATCTGTTTACTATGCCAAGTTCTGAAGGATTAGATTCAGCATCTGAAATTCCCTCGACAAGCTCAAGCCAATCTTCTGGGATTCATACTGATAGGCTTTCTGATTCATCTTTTTCATCAGGCACTTCAAAGGTGAGGGGAAACAATCTAGTTGCCAAGCTAATGGGTTTAGAAGAAGCCCCCTCAAGACCACTTCCAGCTGCTGCGCAGAAACAGTTGCAAGGTGAAAAGATTCTGAATCAAAAGAGACCTACATTTGAGATAGATATCCCCAAGTTAAAGAAGACTAGTAATGTAATTGAGAAGGTTGATCCAGAACGAAGGAAGACCCTGAGTGAAATTCTTGACGCTATTCATTTCAAAGGATTCTTGAAGAAGAGTTCTGTCCTAGAGCCTAATCTTTGGATTCATCATTCCGATGATTACCATCCCAAACAAAGTGATGATTTACCGCCAATTGTACTTATGAAACCTCGATGTTGTTCATACCAGGAATCAATTAAATCCCCTGCACCTGTTCCTCCAAAACCAGAAGGTCTATCCCTCAGAAAACCAAAAGCGGAGGTAGTCCCTTCCAAATCATTTAAACAAAAAGGTTCCACCAGCATGGGGAGCAGTATGAAAGATGTAACCAAAAGGCTTACACATGAGGAAAAGCCTAGAATCCTCAACGAGTTCGTGAAACTGGATGAGAAAGCAATGATGCCCGTTGAAAAGTCTCCAAATATGGTGAAATCATATAGTCATATAAGTCATAAACCACAGGTACAGGAGGCAATTGAGAAAAAAGCTAAGGTGAAAACTGTTACAAAAAAGCTGCCAGAAAAGGAGATCATAAGGCCTAAAATTTTGACAAAGTCCCAAGATCGAGGAGAAATTACCTCCACAAAGTCGCGGACATCACCTAGTGAATTGACCATAATCAAGGAGATTCCCTGCCAGCATAGCACAGCTTTGATCATCAGCTCAAAGACAAAAACAACAAAGCATAAAGATTTCAAACAGAGAAAGAATCAGAATAATAGCCAGAAGCTCATTCCAGAGCCTGAAGCAGCTAAACCTATTGTAAGCCTATTTTCCTGTGTTTTGTTCCTCTTGGGTGATGTAGAAGTATTCAAAGTATCATGTAGAACCGAGTTTGATAGCATTATTACTTGATGATAAATGACTCAGTGAAGCAAGAATTTAAGTTTGAGGATTGATACAGTATTCTTCTGTACAGGATGAACAATCAGGACGGGAAGAAGAGAAGAGTGTTGCTGTTCCTTGTAAAGATGATTGCGCTGAGATTAGAACTATAGCTGAACATGCAGTTGAATTTCCAGTGGAACATGAAGTAGATGCCTCCCCGAGTAAGATAGATGGTTAGTTTTGCGTGTCTACTCACATATCATATTTATTGACAGTAATCCTTGTATTAATTTGAGAGTGCATCCCCTTGTTAATTTACAAAGCAATTTTGAAACAAGGTTGTTGGTTGAAATTCATAAATCATTCACCTGTCAGGGTGTCTTTAGTAGCAAATTCATTAATTATCAAAAGAGAAGTTCCTAGGTTTTCAGTGACTAGAAAGAATCAACATCAAAGGATACTGTTGGATGGTTGGAACCCATTCTAAAACATTTCTTTGAATAATATGTTAATGTTTAGCGGACACATGTTTAACCTTGGAGTTCTATCAAAACTGAGTAGATGTTTGGTAAATACTTATTCTATACATATAGAGGCAGTGCAATGGAAAGCTACTACAATTTATGTGAACGTTACATGGTGACATTAAGCACTATATAAATAGCTATATGCTGTCATTATCATCACAACAGCAATGAGCGAAGACCTTCTTGATTACATGACTAGAATTTCTTGCACTTCCTATATCCTTGTATAAATATTTGTTTGAATTTTCCCTCCCTTTGTATTATCATGCAGAAGATTGTTATCAGAGCTCGAACTCTTTAGGTAATGATGTTGCACCATTAAAGGTTGAGCACGGAATTGATGCTACTTCTGCTGAAGAAGCTTACGGTGGGGAGTCAGATAGCAATGCTGACAAACAAGGGGCTGAGCTGAAATATTTTCTTTTAACCAACCCATTATTTATTGGCCATGCAGAGGAGCTCCTCAATCTTGACGTGGATTGTCCCATGACCCAGCAAAAATATGAAATTAATGGGATAGCCAATCCCAGACTCTATTTGGATTGTGCGAAAGAACTCGCTGAGCGTAAAAGCCTGCAAGATTCACATCCGATCTTGCTAACTCGGGCAGGGAACTCAAGAGTACAGATCTCTTTAGACAAGTTGGTTGAAGAAATCTATAATGCCACTGAGAAGCTGAAGTTTTACACTATGATCTCTGCGGACAAATTCTCTGTAGATAATGTTTATGCCATGATGAAAAGAGATATAATGTGCCATGGGCTGATAAATGGAATATGGGACTGGGGTTGGAGGTATGGATTTTCTGCAGATGAATCTGAGCAAGTTGTCAACGAAGTAGAAGGCCTAGTTTTAAGTGGGTTGATTGAGGAGCTTATTGTGGATTTATGATTACATGTTATGAAACATGTGGATATGCAGTTTTCAATAGTCAACAACTAAACTATTGCATGTCATATAATGTCTGTACACGGAACAGTTTAGATTGAATTTGCATACATAAAACTCGTGCGTGAATTCAATTTTAGCTGTTCAAGTACAAACACTAGGCATGCAAAAAATTTCATATCTTACCATCTATTGGGGGTTTCTTTTAGGCCTAAACATAGAGGTTGATTAAACTGACCCAAAAAAGAAGGAATAGTCCGCTGACTGTGATATTCTGCCTTGGAAGGAACTAAGAGGGAGATTATATTTGTGGATTACATATCAAATGGCCGTTGAAATTTTAAAAAGAGAGGATTTAGTTAGAGCAATTTAGTTAAGCTTTTATGAATCAAGTATATTTCTTGTACCCTTCTCAAGTTGCCATATTCTTTGTGGCAGTAGTAAAACCGAGATGAATGCATATCAACATCTATTGCTTCAGTCTAGAAATTATCTGACTCGTAAAAAAATAACTAGCCAATTATATTTTTGATAATGAACTAGCGAATAATATTGTTTGCATAAATTAAAACTTACGCTAATTGTTGAGGGCATAAATTGATAAATTAGATAAACCCTTTAACCATAATGATGTGAATTGACGGAAAGAGCCATGTTTTCTCTTCTATTTTCCCAAAGTACTCTGCAAAAAGGTATGAACGAGTCAAAGGCTCCGTGCAGATATTACAACAATCAGACCTCCAAATGAAAGTGAAATTGTGAGCTACACCGTGTTGTTATCTATTCTCTTTTTCATGTCTTATGTTCAATACTGCTCTGGTTCTATTTATAAAATAGAGAAAATATATTTTTTAATCCTATTTATAGAATACTGAGAGAAATTTTTGTATAGAGGTACAATTTTACCCCTCATTTATTATTGTGTTGGCTTTATTTATATGAAATATAATTGATATTAAATAGGGATAAATGTGAAAAGTCATTAAAATTTTAAATGAGAGTTAATGAAATTTAAAATTTTTCTTAACATGTGTGAAACATGTAAAAAATATTTTATAGATAGGATCAGAGAAGCATGTTATAGAAACGTAAACCAAATATTTGAATTGGACAGCTTAACAAAGACAGTACTTGCATTTATTGCCACGACTCTCCATTCTTATATGCCAGGTAAGTTTCCCACCATGGGGGGGCAAAAAAAAACTCACTTGATAATTGCATCTTTAAAATAAATATTTGGAGGAGTGCGTGAAGTTTTAGAGATGGATTTGAAGCAGGTAGGCAGAATATGTATTAATGTCAAATTCGTTACAAAGTCTCTCTGTCATTTTGACGTAACACTCCTATTTTGGCTAACACACTTGAGGCAGAGAGGATAGGAATCTGGAAAGTGAAAACTCTGCTTAGTGAAGATGATGGAGACAGTTCAACCTTCAGTCCCTTTGTGATATACACAAGTCTTATATCTCTCTGTACAAGGTTCATAATCATCCTCTGCTCGCCGTTCAAGAGAATCGAACACCGCCTATGTAATATAGCCTCTCTGATGTTCCCAGATTAAGAAGAGTCTCCTTTGAAGATCAGGAAATTAAGGGTTTCCAGAGAGAAGAAGATGAAAGTTCCAGGTGAGTGACTGAAAAAGCACCCAAAATTGGAACCCACCACACATTGCCACCCACCTCCATACATCTTATCAAACGCCTGAAAGATCCCACAACAAACCCATGAATCGATTCAAAGAAATAATCGAACCCCAGAAGCAAAGTTTGGATCTTGTTAAGCTGAAGCAAACTATTATTAGTTTACCTTCTTGATGTGAGCGGCAATAGAGACGCAATCAGAAACGTCAAAGAGATCAAGGGCATGAGAAGCAGAGGACATGGCTTGGATTTGCATCTTCAAAGGCATGTCTGCTTCTTTGACTGTAGCTTTCCCTTCCAACATCCTTTTTTTCGCCTATCAGAATCACTCTCAGTCACCGAGGAGTTCAATGAAAACACACACCTGTTGTTTTATGCGAGGATGCTCTGTCTCTTGTTTAAAGTGGAGACGGAGATCAAGGGGTGGTGGGGGCAGATTCTATGGATGAGATTCTCGCAGCAAAAACTAAAACCAGCAGAGCGGAGATTCGTGCATAAATGGGAAATTGACCGATACGATAAGGTGGCATCAATTTGAGGGGGGCACGTAACTCAGCTATTTCTGCGTGCAATCCTGTCAGCATCTGCATATTTTCATTATTTTGCGAAGTGCTTGGAATATTGTATGGGGGAATGGGAATTAAAGTGGGGATAATTGAATAAATAATAGAAAAAACTGCTGAAAAATGCTCCATTGTAAATTTTATTAAACAAAGGTATCGAGTCGGGTTTACAATGTTAAGTGCAGTACATTTTCAGTTAACGTGATTCTTTTTTAAAGTATACAGTTTATCCTTATCTATGTACTACTTCCGGTCCTAATTATAAGAGCCAGTTAACTAATTTGAGGAAATTAAAGAAATAAGTTGAGTTAGTTATTTGTCCTAAATAAGTATTGTCTTTTCTAAAATATCCCTATTAATCAAGTGTATTGACTAGAACTATCATTGTTAGAATGGTTATTTTGGGAAAAAAATGTATAAATATGAGAGACAAAGTGGATTGGGGTCTTATATTTAGGATCAAAATAAAAATCAAACAAGATCTTATATTAATGATCAGAGGTAGTAGCATGTAACAGATAAAAGACATTTGCTGGTAAAAAAAAAAAACAGATAAAAGACATTTGTATATAATTAAAGATGCTTTATATACAAAAATGGTTGATCCTACTAAAAATAAGTTATATTCCTTTAAGGACCTAGATATTAGGTACCTTTTAGGTGATAAATTTGGTAATAGAGAATTTTTTAGCAATTTTCGGGAAATAATAACACCTTGAAAACTAAAAACCAAATAACCGATAATCTGGCTAAAAAAAGTTTCAAAAATATAATTTAGAAATTCTTAAAGCTCATTTAAAAGCGTTGCGAATTTAAGTAGATTTACTTTCCGTTCAAACATTTTCAATTTATATATAGTTTAATCTTAGTTTTCAATATTTCTAAAATTAAAAAGTAAATATACAGTTGCCTGGATAAAAACCATATTTTTAAGATTATCTTATGTTCAGTGTTATTGGATCATATTTGAATATTGACACATCTCAAATGGAGATAAGATAATTATTCTAAAGATATTCTTTATATAGAAATAAACTCAAATCCTAGCTCTGTAGAAAGTATAGTTTGTAGTACAAACTCAAATACTATTTTAATTTTAAATATAAGATCTAAGTTGTAGTTAGGAGTAGTAGTATAACACTTCCTAAGACAGGAATTATAACACCTTTTGGTCAGATAACTGTAGCACTTCATGTTTAAACATTTATAACCCGTTTTATAAAAAACAAAAAATGTTGGTTCCTTAATGAAACAGCATTTTATTACAATTTTTAATATTTTGAGTTTAATTTAATTTAATTTTTTTATTACTTTCAATATGTATTGTATATAAATAAGAGATTGTTTATTCAACTAAGGTGGTTGGTTGAGATTTCAAAACCTTGAAATGTTACAATGTGATTATTTCCTTATTTATTCCCAATATCTTTTTTTTTCCCGGAGAATTATAATGTGACCTCTAAGAAAGAAAATAATAACTAAAAAATCTCAATAACAAATTAAAAATTGTCATTTCATATGCTGTAACTTATTATTATAAGTTATTTAGTTGTTATTAAGATTTTTGATTAATTGTAATTTTTCCTATTTTCTTGGAAAATTTCTAGATAAATCCTTTCGAATATACATAATTCGAGATTGAGTCCTGGAACTGTGTAAATGACAAAAAGGGTCAATGACCTAATTTGTCATTTATAAAATCAAGAAGAATTGACAATTATGTCCTCATTTGTATTCATTCACTATAATAATTTAAGAAATCACTATAAAGATTTAGGTGTTATCTAGATTTATGTAGAGAATAACTATTTATTTTTTTCATAGTCAGGAATGTCCCATAAAAAGGTGCCTTGTTATTAACTACAACTAATCATGTAATCACTAGAACAGTGTAAGTATTACCTAGATTCGTTTAGAGAATAACTACTCACTTTTGCCTTCATTTGTATTTATTCACTACAATAATTTAAGAAATCACTATAAGGGTTTAGGCGTTATCTAGATTCGTATAGAGAATAACTACTCATTTTTTCGTAATCAGGAATGCCTCATGAAAAGATACCTTATTATTAACTACAACTAATCATGTAATCACTCGAACAGTATAAGCGTTACTTAAATTTGTTTAGAGAATAACTACTCACTTTTGTTTAATCAGGACAAAATTGTCAATTTCTTTTAATTTTACAAATGACAGATTGGGTCATTCATTACACAATTTCAAGACCCAATCTGAAATTGTGTATATTTGAAGGGTTTTATCTAGAATTTTTCCTATTTTCTTTCCCTTTCATAAACAAAAAGAGGAAAAATGGACAGAAACAGATAGAGATGGAATGACCGGGATCCGTGACCCACGCGTCTGAAAGCACGTGGACCACCTCCCCAGCAGCATAAATAATTTCGGCAAATTTATAAACTGATTCTGCTGACTCAATCCATCCGACAAAGTCTAATAAAACTAAATATATTATAATTATTTAATTAATATTTATAATAATTAAAATTTTTGTAATATTTTTAAATATATATTATTGCTATTATTTTTTAATAATTTTTTGTCTTAGCATGGGAGTTTATTAGTAACCAACTCAACACTTTATACGTGTGTGCCTATTATATGCATATGGAAAAATTTCATTAAAAGTCATGAATTAGAAGAATCTCAGATCATGTTGATAAATTTCACAAATCCTTGAATGCAGCATCCTGAGGGGCCAGAGGGCGCCGACCGAAAGGTTCCTTGCAAGCCCTCGATCCGGATTAGTCTGGGGACGTTGTCACGGCTGAAAGACGCCTATTTCCCTGGGATACCGGAGGAGAAATCCAAAAAAAAAAAAATTTCACAAATCCTTAACTGGTCCATATAGGGAAGATTGGGATAAATCCGCATTAAAAATTTAATTAGCAAATGGGACTTAAGAATTTTGTGCAACTCAATTTCTTTTTGTGCAACTTATCTTCTCTTATGTGTGCAATGTCTTTTTTTGTGTGATGTACAACTCAATTTTTCTTTGTGCAAATAAAATTCTCTTATATGCAAGTCATCTTCCCTATGTGCAAACTAATTCTTTATATTCAAATAATGTTTTGTGTAAATTATCTTCCCTTTATGCAACTTATCATCTTTTGTGTGAAACTAATATTCAAATGAGATTTATTTCTAATTTTCCCGTCCATATACTCAAACTAAAATTTGTGAATTTAGGCATTTTATCACATCACTCCTTTTTTTTTAAAAAAAAAAATAACCTCTTTTTTAACTAAAGGGACTCCTGGCACAACTAGCAGCCTGCCACCAGTGCTCGGGGCTCTTGCAATAATAGCCAGTGATCGACCTAAGCGGTATTGATAGTTGATAAATTGCAAAAAAAAAAAAAAAAAATGTTAACAGTAAATAAAAACTTGTGAATGGATAAATTGTATTGTTAATTTCTAAATTATTTTGCAATTGAATAGCAATAAAAATTTAATAAAAATTACAAAAATTTTAATGTGAATAGGTGATAAAAAGTTGCGAATTAATTGTTAGACTTGTTAATTTTTAAGATTGTGTTGCGATTGAATAGCAATAAAGGTTTATTAAAAAGATTTCACTCATCAATAAACCTTTATTATCATGGTTTAGCAATTCAAAAATTTCCAATGACAAGTTGAAATAAACTTCTTATATTTATAAATAAATAATGGTAATTGGATAAGCTAATTATATAAAGAGCACACAGTCATAGTAATTCTTGGTACAGAGATTGAAACCGCCAATGGATAGGAAGCACACGGTGAACATGATTCTGGGTGATCCTATGGAGAGACATGACAAATGAGATAATGAAATTTCAAATTATAATGAGGTGACAACGTTGTGGAAATCAACTCATCTTATCGTCGCCTTTTACTTTCTTGTAATGCTTATCACATTTTACCAAGGAATCACTGCCTTGTCTTAATTTAATTATTAGTTGCCATAGGCTTCAACAAAACCGTGTCAATGTCAAAATCTTCACCGCCAAGCATTTCGATTGATAAACCATGAACGTGACTTGACATCCCAAGGGGAATTTGGACTTTATCCGATCTATTCCTCGGATTTACATTATCATTCCTTCCTTGGCTTCATATATTGCACTAACTCCTCGGGTCTTTAATATAAGAGTCGGTTGATTAATTTGAATAGGTCAGGAAAGTTTATTTAGTTAGTTATTTGTGATAAATAAGTATTGTTTTTCTTAAAATATTATTATTAATAATATGTATTAGTTGGAAATAATCATATGAGGTCATATGTATTAGCTAATCATATACCCTTGCTAATACATAGAAATAAAACTCTTTTTAGTATCTAAAATTTGACCTCATTTTAATTTTGGTTTTTAAAAATTAAAACAAGTGATTTTTTTTTTTGGGGTAAAAGAGAGGGCCAAATAAAAAGGCTCAAACAAATAAACTCAGGTTCTGAGGGAATCAGATCCCACTCTTTCTCTGGCCACTCAAACCAGTTAATCTGGTGGATAATAATAAAAAACAGAAGATCTAGAAAGACCCTCCTTTGTAAGTGCATCCTCAAATGATTATCTTCTTGAAACGACGCTCCCAAAACAAGTTGAGGCCTCTATAGATAGCCCACTCCTCGGCCTCAAAAACAAGTGATTTTGATCCTTAAAACTTTGTTTTGGTGATAAAAACACTGTTTCAAGCACAAATTTTTTTTAGATGGACCAAAAAGAAGACAAAATTTCATGGACTAAAAACCATTGGGTTCAAATTTAAGAAAGCAAAACCAAAACAATGTACAACTTCAAGAGCTAAAGATGATATTACATCCCATTCCAAATATAAAGGTTACACTACAAACTAGCTCTTATATTTAGAACAGAAGATTATATTAATCATAATACTATCTTAATTCTTAATATAAAAACTAGTTGAAGGGTTAAATTTGGTCCCAATGTAAAATCTTAATTTATTTTGTCTCTCATCTTTCCTCAAAATATTCCTATTGATCGTAAAGGCTTCTCACTCTAATGCATATGATTGAAGAGAATAGTTTAAGGAGATCAACATACATTTGTGACAAATAACAATTTTAACTAATGTCCTTGATATCCTTAAATCAGTTATCTAACTCCTATATTAAGGATTGGAAGTAGTATATACTCAGGAAAATCATTTTGCAATTGCCTATAATTTTCCTCGATTTTTAATTTGGTATTTTGTATTTTTTTCCTCTTAATTAAACACTCTAATTTTACTCTATTAGCTTCTGTAACTTTACTCTATTCGTACTGCTAGCCCCCGCATAAAAGGCCGATTATGCTAACAGAGCACAATTATAGTGCCTATTTAGAGCAGAAAAATACAAAGGATAAAAACCAATTTTAGCCCGCATATGTTCTAGCTGGGCTTGGGTAAGAAGACAGCCCCTATTTCTGGCTGGCTACCAAGAATTAGCTCGAAAAACTAATGGCCTGCTATAGTTCAGCCTGCGAGCCAGTCCGTGGCCCGTGGCCCATATTCTCAGTACCAGACTATGATGGAAATAGCAAATGCCTAGGGAGAAATAAAATTGAAATATGGCCATAATATTATTATTTTAAAAGAGTAATACGTTAAAAATAAAAGATGTAGGGAAAATAATGATGGGTAATTTTGACATTGCTCATTTACTCCCATGAATAATAGATGAAAAGTATTTTTATTACTAAGTTTGTTTTGCACTTTATTTATTTATTTATTTACAGGTTAAGATTTATTTTTGTCCAGGAAGTATAAGTATCTGAAATTTTTTTTTTAGGACAATGGAAGTAGCAAAATCCTAGCAATATTAATCTATCCTAACAGACCTAAACAATCAACATTTGCTGACTCATTATGCTGAGGTGGATGCCATGCATCTCCCGAGTTCCTCCTTCTCCTCTAATTCATCCTTTGTCCGGCAATAATAAATCTACAAGGCAGTCTTCACTGCCATCTCTTCCCCTTCCCCCACAAGAGGAAGCTTCACCAACAATTAGTTAGTTACAGTGTAGACGGTGCATCGAGCCATGTTGTGGTGGGGTGGAGGAGTAAAAGAAGTTGGCAGCAGGGGTGTGGACGGCTTCGTATCATTCTCGAATTGGTAGGAAGAGTTTTTTCTCGACTTATATAAAAATATTTTTTTAAACTTGATTTTCTCATCATGTTGGACCAGATATGCAACCAATTCTTGGTTCTTCAATCTCAATTCTCAATCGTAATACTAAATATAATAGGAGGAATGATGGTTAGGTTTTGAAATTTTAATTTATTAATAAGGTTCAAACAATTTAATTAAAAATGAGCTGCAAACACCAATTTAGATATACTTAAATATCAAAGTATTAATTATAAAATGATGGTGAAATAGCATTATAAATCACTAAAGTAACTTATGAACTTAACAATCTGACTTACATTTGATATTTGCAATTTCTAGCAATGTGAATTGATATTTATGATGCAACTTCCAACAAAGTTTCTCATGATCTAATTATTACTAACTTTTATTCTTAATACTCTATTTAGTTCTTATTATAAAATGTCATCAACTAATTCACACAGACTAAGAAATGACAGTTTTGTCATTAAATGTATTTTAAAATTATGAAATTCTCCAAATCTACTCTCATTTAATAATGTGATTTACATGAATGTTTCTTAATAAATATTATTATGATATTCAATAATTTGTAACCAGGGGTAAACTAAGAAAAAGTCGTTAATGACCCAGCTAATGTCTTATAGTAAGAACTAGAGTGTAGGATCTGATTTATATCTTATACTACTTCGTCTCTTATTATAAGATCTAATTTTTTGAATGGATTTGTTTCTTTTTATAAGATTTTTTTTGAGTTTGTCTGAATATTTAATACATTATTACTTATTTTATTTTAATTTAATGCATTTAATACATTCTCTTTTTTCATTTATCTCACTATTATTCTCTCACATTTACCCATTTATATATAGGGGTATATTTAAAAAAATTATATTTATTACATATTAATTGCTTTCAATTAATTTTAACTGTTTTTTTAAACCGAGTAATTTAGTTAAAATGATCTTATAATAAGGGACGGAGGAGTACTCCTCTGGTCCTATTTATAAAGCACTTCTAACATATTTCACACAGATAAAAAACGTTAAAATACATTAACTCTCCATTAAAATATAATAATTTTTTAAATTTACCCATATTTAATATATGTAACTTTTAAAAAAGATAACTACCTATTAGTGCACCGTAATATATGAAAGACAAAATAATACATTCATACTGAAAATTTAATAAAGTGAGTTATAAATAGGACTAAAAAATCTTTTCTCTGTGCCTTATAAATAGGATCATAAGAGTATTATATTTAATCTTAAATATAATATCTAGTTTGTAATATAATTCGCAGAAGGCATCAAGGAATAGAGACAGTATATTACCATATTATTTCTGATAATATTATAAAAATACATAATAACGTTTTTATGAAGCAGCCCACTACAGTCCACAAGCGGCTAAGACAACGAAAATTTATTGGCGACAACTCATTAACAACACTTGACACGTGACGCCACCCTATACGCAGCCCAATCAAATGGCTTCCTTAGGCTCCATTTCTAATCCTCCATTACTCATTTATCTTGTCTTCAATTCTTCCAATTATCCACCTACTACCCTTTTATATAATTTAAAAATATCCTCATCTCACATGAGCTCCTTCGTCACCCCTAAATTTTTAAGGGAAAATTAGCTGATTTCATGTGAAAAAAATTAAATAAAAATAATTTTTTAAATTTAAAACCTATTTATATTTATACTTGAGATTTATGGATAATTATTTTAATTATTAACCTTAAATTATTTTATTCCCAAGTTAGCGGCATGCCCCCCCCCTCATGCTTGATAATCTCTGCTCAGTCCGGTGCTGTAAAATCAAAATTCATTTGATTTTCTATATTGCTGATTTCTTTCTCATAAGATCCATATCTATTGAAATATTTTTATTTTCACGCATGAAATTCTAATTAATGATAGGACTGGTGCCATAATTATAAATGAGTTGCACTTTTTTTACCAGAAATTTTAACTATTTTTTTTATATCTATAAAATAATTACTACAAATTCTCTCCCATTTGATATCACACTTCCTTCCCTCCTAAATGTAACATCTAACTTCTTGTGCAAAGTAGTACCTCGATCTAGTTTACAGTACAATACAAGCTCAATATTTTTTTTTTTGGCAGCACTAAATATTATATTTAAAACCCAAAGAAGTATTATATAGTCTCAATTTTTCTCAATCATTCCTTTTTATTTACTCTCTCAACAAATAAAGGTATATTTAGAAAAAAAAAGACTGAAAAAATTAATTTTTTAGTTTTTATAATTTTAACTCATTTATAACTTAGTCATTATACTTTAACTTTATGTAATTCAGTCTTCATAGTTTGAGTTAGTTGCAATTCAATTTTTATAGTTTTAACAATTTTATAATTTAGTCTTGTTGTTTTAGAAAAATGAAACTATATATCTATACGTCTAATAAAGATAGGGATTAAATTATAAAATGTCAAAAATATAAGAAGTGGATTGCAACAAATCAGATTTCAGAGATTATGTTATAACCGAGTCAAAATTATAAGGACTGAGTTACACCGAACTAAAATAAAGAGATTAGATTTTAAACAAGGTAAAACTACATGAGTAAAAGATTAATTTTTCCAAAAAAAATTATATATTTTCTTATCCATTTATTATTTTTTACCAATATTTTAATCTACATGATTTGGATTGTAAAATCACTTTATTATCAAGGACGAAAGGGAGTATGTTGCATTAATAATTCAAGTCAGACATTGAATTTTCAAAAAAAAAAAAGTTCAAGCCGTACTTTATTTTAACTTATTCAACGTATTATATGTATACTTACAATTACAATTACAAATATATTAACTAGCAGTATATAGATAATATTTGTTGGATGAATTAAAAAAAAAAGAAAAGAAATCCGTGCTCACTTGAAGGCAAAGCAATCCGATAAATAAGATCATTTTTTTAATACTACATATAATTTTCAACCCCCAATAATCAGGGCAAAAAACCCCGAATAATAATATGGCAAAAAACAAAAACAACAATAATTGAAAATGAAGCAGTTGAAGCCGGAGAGAGATTCTGATTGCTGGAGTAGGAAAGATTTATTTTCGTTTCTTTGAAAATTTTGACATTTCTCTTTCGTTCCGACCGGGGACGCAGATTCAGAAGCGAGACCTGCGAGGTCAAGCTGTGGGGTTTTGATTTCTCAAGCGGCGCTGCTTGCTTGCTGTCGTTTCCTTCTCCCGATGGGCGATGACCAATCGCCGACCTTAATGGCTAACAGAGACAGAGATCGGGAGCTTCTCATCCCGGTGGCCGGTTCCGGCGACGACGGTGCCGGTTCCAAGCCTTCTCCCTCCTCCTCCACTCATCATGCTGGCCGCGAGGTGATTGATTCATTCATTGCTTTAGGGTTTCTATTTGTCCATGCGTGCTTACTTGGTCTTTGGCTGCTTTATCCGGCAATAGAAAATGATGGAAAATTCAACTACAGGCGATTCATCACGGCCTTGGTCGAATCGCCTGCTACTGTTGTGGGCATGGTTGCTACGTTTTTATGCTGAATTGAAGCGTGATTGCTTGCTAAGCACTTTTTTTAAATTGAACATATCATGACTTCAGCTGGTTTATTTTTTTTTAAATCCCGTAATTATTATTTCTCATGCCTGTTAATGTGATGAAATCTATTGGTCAAACCGTTTAAGCATCTCAATTTTCGCAAGATTTACATGGTTATATGTTTGAATTTAAATACTTTTCACAGATTTTAACACCTGACGAAAGTTATCTCTCTTGTTTAGGTGTATATTTTATTCCTCTGCCTGAAGTATTTGACTGATAGATTGCAGTTTTGTTTGTCCCTTTGTAGACGTTCTACAAAGTTGTTCGGAGCTGGGCGTCTAAAAAGTTCATGACTGGATGGTGCGTAATTCTTAGTTTTTCACGTCAAATTTTAATACCGGTATTATTGCCTTGGACGTATGCTATGCTATTGCTTATTCCTACATTGACAGGTGTGCTCGTATGGCCTAGTTAATTTTTACTATTATAGTTGTTGTCAGTCTGCTTTCCAAACTCTGTTGTCTGAAATCTAAACCAAATGCGCAGTGGCAATTTTTAGTCTTCATTCGTGTCTATACATACGGAGATATATAGGGCAACTCAGTCAGAAATATGAGAGCTGGAAGACATGAAAAGGCTAGGAAAACAGCCCTATTCTAAAGCAGATGAATAGATTAGGAGGGAGTGATGGATTTATGTAAATTTTTTTTTTTTTTTTTTTGAATGTCTTCTTTCATATGCCAAACAAGAGAAATTCCACCTCATCATATTAATGCCCGTTTATGCATTAATGCTGCTTTTTGAACTCCTGAGTATGGGCATTTTATCAATTAATTTAAGTTTTCTTTCTTTTTTGTTTTACTATTCTTCGAAAAATAGGTGATGAGCTAGGATGATTGTATGCGATTTTTGGAACACTGCTGTTCATGTTCTTCTCCTGGTGATATTAAATAAGACCTAGCTGCTACCTGCTTTAGCCAAAGCTGATTGTTTCATGAGACTTGTACTTACCATATCTGAAAATGCATTAACTTATTCTAATGCTCCAGAAGCTGACCATTACTTTGTTTGCAGTGTCATTCTCTTTCCAATTGCAATAACCTTCTATATAACATGGTGGTTTGTTCATTTCGTGGATGGATTTTTTTCTCCTATCTATGCTCAACTTGGAATCGATATTTTTGGTAAGTCTACTATATTCCTTCACCTCTCGCGGAACAAATGTATGTGATAAAGTGGCTGCAAATCACTGTTTTTGTCCATGATATTTTAAAATCAGCAACATCTGTCCAGTGCATAAAATGTTAGAAAAAAGCACTTTCTTGTACAATGTTTTCAATGCATGGCAATTCAGTTTTCATGGCTTTACATTATTGTTAATATTAATATTAATTTTTTTTTTTTCACTTCAATGTAGCCAACCTCACCTAATAGGATAAGACTTGTTATTGCTGTTCTTCAATGTTTTCTGTTTTAGTAACCTTGTGTAATTCAGTGCAACAAAACTAGTGAAGTGATTAGTGGAGAATAGAAATATGGCTTATTATTCTCTCCAACTTCTCAATTTACTAATCATGTGGCCTACTAGTAGTAAACATGTTAAAATTATTTGCCCATAACTTTTTTTTTTTTTATCAGGTCTTGGATTCATAACTTCCATAACTTTCATCTTCTTGGTCGGGATTTTCATGTCATCATGGTTGGGTGCATCTGTCCTGGGCCTTGGGGAGTGGTTTATCAAGCGAATGCCACTTGTACGACATATTTATAATGCCTCCAAACAAATTAGTGCTGCTATTTCACCAGGTCTGTATTCAAACATCTTTTGAGCTTGATTGGAATGTGATAGCGTGTCAGAGAATAATATATGTTAATGTGTTGTTACAGACCAAAATACACAAGCCTTCAAAGAAGTAGCAATCATTCGGCATCCTCGAGTTGGTGAATATGCATTTGGATTCATCACCTCATCTGTTGTCCTTCAGGTTTCTAAAGAACTTCAATGTGTCGAAAGATTTTTTTTTTCTTTTTTGTAATTTTTATGAGTAGAATGTTTCTTTTTGTAGCTATGATGTCCTTATATTCTATATTGTAATCCCGATTGTTTTCTGGCTGAGTTTTGTTGGTCTGAGTCTCTGCCTGCTTATTGATAATGCAAATCAATGTTTCTCGTGGGATTCACACTTCCCTAGATACATTTGCTTGTTTCGTCCGAAGCGCATATTGTTGATGCCTATACATATACATGTTGGAAGGCTGAGCCAATTGTTATTCTCCATTAGTGTGGTTCTTTTTTTCACCGTGACATGTTTGTTAACTTGCAAAATTGCATCTCCTATTGTATGCTGTTGATTGCTTTGTACTTCAAATTCCTTGCCCTTTGTTGTCTTTGAAGCTACGTGCAATGCAACAGTTTGAGTTACTCAGATTCTTGACGTACTCCATAATCAGTTGTCATTTTCTTGATGCCCACGCCACGTGTTTACAGTTCAGTAGGTGTAAAACTGTTTGTCTGTCAAGTTTAAGCTAACGATAAATGCTCGTTGATGAAAATTCTAACATTCTATTATCAGAGTTTTAAAGTTTAAGTAGCTTGTTAAATTTTCACATTTTTCTCTTGCAGAGCTATTCAGGAGATGAGGAGCTATGCTGTGTCTATGTTCCCACGAACCATCTTTATATTGGTGATATATTTCTTGTCAACACCCGTGATGTCATTAGACCAAACTTATCCGTCCGTGAAGGAATTGGTGAGTTGTTTTGGTTTTTATAGTTTCTTATAAGTCTCTCAAGTATAGAACCCAGATCAAGTCAATACTGACTTATTCTCTAAGATATCATCCTTGGGCATAGGCTGTTTAGATATTATGGATGTATGCAACTAGGAACATGTGTGTGTGTGTGTGTTGGCTGAAGAGCCAGGCATGGGTTGATCAGCCTTGAAGTTGTAACAGATAATCCTGAATTAGTAAGTTGAAATTGCTATGAACATTGCAGAAATTGTTGTTTCTGGAGGGATGTCAATGCCACAGATTCTGTCGACGATCGATTCTCGCGTGGTAATTACTACAAATGATAGAAGTAGACCTGACAGAAGCTGATGCTAGACTTGGTTGTGGTTCTTCTGCTACGTTCGTTCGTTCCATATGGAGCCATCAGATTGGCCATAATGCACTCCAGCATGCATTTGGAATGCAAATTTGAATTTGGTGGTTTATGAGAAAGTGTTTCAGATTCTGATGGCACTTGTAACATTCTTTCCTATGTAATATAATGTAGAATTTATTAGGCGTTTGCTTTGGAAGTCTTGTTTCAGAATGGCGCCCTTTGCCTTGCCTACTCCTATCGAAGAAATTGCGTTAGCTTGTTTTATCATTTTTGGTTTTTTTTTAAGTTGAGACAAATCTTTTTTTATCTTAAAAATGTAGTTAATGAGTTGCGTTAATATGAGACTCGGCACGGTGTAGAGAAATTGGGTTTGACGAAAAGTGAAATCAGTACTTGTTTGTAGTTTTTTAATCATGAATTACTAAGTAGGAGGCACAAATATGTGAAGCAAGTCGTTTCAGTGGCCATAATCACTTGATATAAGCAGTGCCAAATAAGTGCTTCTCTATGAAAAAAGGGGCAGGGTTCAAGTTTGAAAGTCCTGTAACAGGTGATATTTCATTAACTTCTTAATTTTCATTTTACGCCAAATAAGTGCTTCTATATGAAAAATGGGGCAGGGTTCAGGTTTGAAAGTCCTGTTTCTTAAGAAAATTTTTCATATACATAACAGGTGATAATTCATAAACTTTTTAATTTTCATTTTATACCAAACAGAACTTTAAAAATTCTTCTTTTAGTATATGACTATTTAAACAAATGAGATTGCTTTCACATTTTTTTTGCTCAATTAACATATCTAATTTTTGCATCTAGAACAGAATTAGAAACCTGCTTTTCGCTCTTTATGCTCAAAAAGGAATTTATTTTTCCTTGTTGGCAAAAAGACACTTCTAATCCTAAAAATAAATTTCAAGTTAACAGCTCAACTAATATTCAAATTTGTGAAGTGGACTCCCCCAGGGGACCCATGCAATTAGTCTAGTGCAAATGTATAAATATAATATGTACATATGTACTTCCTCTAGTCTTAATTATAAAATCTAGTTAATTAATTTGAAAAAATTAAGAAAATATGTTAAGTTAGTTATCTGTAATAAATAGGTATTGTATTTCTTAAAATATCCTTACTAATCAAGTTTATTACCTAGAACTATTATTATTAAAAGGACTATCTTGAACAATAATGCATAAATATGAGAAACAAAATAGATTAGGGTCTTATAATTAAGATCAAAATAAAAGTTAAACAAAATCTTATATTAAAGATCAGAAGTAGTATAATACTAAAAAATTTACTGTCAATAAAATATTTTTTTTTCTCAGTGAATGAAGTCATTGAAATATTTCAAGCAACAATTTTAACCAGAAACCGTGTGCTTAGTTCTCCTTCACATAACCACGTTACATATCGACTGCTCAGGCAACACAATTTTTCTTCTTTTATTTTTATTTTTGGGGGGGGGGTGTCGGAGGGGTTAATCGACAAGGAATATTTCATAATATATATATATATGTAATAGCAAGAAAAATCCATCTTCAAACATGGATTATGAAAGCATAGTCCAGCAGCTTCAATATTTTATGAAGGAAAATGACCTTCTGAAGGTGCCATCAATTTTGCTCAAAAACAAAAAAAAAACAAAAGAAGTTGCCATCAATTAAATAGACCTCATTCCACCTGGGAAGCTGAAGAATCATTCATTAATCGATTTAACTATTTGCTAACCTTTAAAGTCGCATTTGAAACAGGAACTTCCTTGGCATGACGGGGGTGATGAGGTACTAGACCTAAAGCACGGAAGTGGAGCAACAACGGTCCATTTCTATGACCATAACTATTCAAAAGAAATTTGCCAATCACTGCCACAGTAAAATGCATAATCTCTTTAAAGGTCAGGCATGCCTCTCCCTGTTTTGGCATCGTAAGTCTTCTCCAGCACAAGGTCCATCGGAGTATCTTTGGGACCAGCTGCAAAAAGAATAATGAAGGGATTTTGAAACTCAGCAGGATAATTTCAATTTCAATATACAAATATATAATAAACACCAGTGTTCACCCAAATTATATAAAGTACAAACATTCATATTTGCTCAAATTCTCTCCAACTGAAGTGTGACATTTGGGTTACGGGTATAATCAGATGCATCACCCACATCCCTCTGTTCAAAGAGGCATGTATTACACCATACCAATAAACATTAGCACTAACTTACATGCATCCAAGAAGTAGAAGCAAGTTGACAATTTAAACATGAAATTCAACAAATAACCCTCACTCCCTTCTTTTCCACCTGTCTTGTGAATTTATTCAAAAACAATTTGTGCATTTCACTAGATCTATGATAACAATTAAGATCAACAGAAAGTGTTACTGCTCAGGTCAGACATACTGAAGAGGAAAGAGGTAAGTACATGATTAGGACATGGAAATAAAAAGGCTTCAACCAAAAAGAAGCGTGATTTTTAAGTGTGTACCGACTGTAGGTCTTGGGGTAGTTCTTATCTTTAAGATCTCAGGCCGGGGGATTATGGAGCCAGATGCTCCCATACCTCTGGACACTCTGACTTTAGTACCATCTTCAAGATATCTAATTCCAACTTTGCAAGGCTTCCTGAACAAGAAAAGGCTTGTCATTTTAAAATTATCTGACTCCAAAACCTTTGCATGCCATCACCAGTTTAGTATATTAACATGCACACACCCTGTCACTGGATCAACAACTTGCACATTTGAGGCATGAATCGGGGCTTCAACGGTAAAGATCCCCCCTTCATGACCTTGTCCTTGTTTAATGTGTTTCTTTACCTAAAAGGAAGTAAAAAAGCATTGAAGTGAAAATATATCATGCATATGGAGAAACTAGACGCTCAAGGAACCATTTAATTCAGATTTTCACGAGGAAAATAAATTGTGATACACATAAACATACAGTTTTGTTTTGGTAAAATGTAAACTCCATTTACCAAGAACAAAATATATGCATCACCTAAAAAGATACTTAAGGAATAGCCGCCTTCTGGGAAGGGTTCTATTCCTATAGCATGAAAACCTTTGGATGGGCAAAATCAAAAGAGTTGCATAACAAAACCAAACCATTAGTATGGCAAAAAGAAAACCAACTATCCATCATGCTAAAAGATTCAGTCTTCTCAGATAATTCGCCTGTGCAAATAACACATACACATATAGTTGTCAAAATATGAATTATTTATTATTATGGGACGGAACAGCTCTGAGATTCACAACATAGAAGGTCTAATGTCACCATAAATTTCCAATAAATTCATAAACAGTTTAATAGATCTTCATATTCAAGCCTAGATGGAATAAATTGTTGCTCAATCTACTTTGTGATCCACGGGATACAGAGAATTTAAGAAAGTACATATCTTTCTTGCCTGACAGAATCAGAAGCAATGACATATTCCGTAGCAGTAAGTTCACCAATATCATAAATCCAATTAAGTTTTGATGTCTCAAAATACTGATTGCCAGACTGATGAGGGATCTTGCTTGACAAACCCAAGCTGATATGTTTAATATTTCACATAAAAACTTTAACAAAGAAAGGCAAAATGAAAAATTCATCTCACCAGATTTTTTCCCTCAACGATAACACGATTCTGAGAGCGGATTACACGTTTAATAACTCCAGTCTCACCCTTGTCTTTTCCCCTAATAATCATTACCTGTAACAAATGACAAAAATAAATCCCTTTCAAAGCAAAATGATAAGACAGAAGAATAGAGACGGGCATAACAAGGATGCGAAAGAAATAATACTAGCTTACATTGTCCCCTCTAAGAACCTTCCAGTGCCTAATAAGTTTCTCAGCAGCTTTCCAACCCATTTCAAGAGATAAGTATCTAATTACTGTTCAATAGAAACAGAGTTATGTAAGAATCCGACCTTGGAAAGTAATATTAAACACTTTAAACAAAATAAAACATGAGCAAGAATGTAGATTCATTTTAGTTCCAATAGAAATTCAGGGGAGAACATATAAAGCACTTGAGATTGAAATCCTTCAGTTGAAACCGAATTCAGGTTCATTCTGAGGTTATTGAATCTGTTCATGATGAGTAGAGTTTACCTAACCTACGGCAAATTATGGGGGGGCCAATAGGTAGGGGTGTTCACAGGCCAGGACAGAGGTCCAAACCCCTGCCCGTGAGCAATCCTGATGTCCTGGCCAATTGGTGCACAGGGTCACGCGAGGCCAGGGCCTTTCATGCAGTGCACTTCTTTTTTAACGTTCTGTTTCATTCACTCTGCATATTCTCCATTTATCTTCTGATAAAAATTCAAGATGTATGGCACATATACACCTTTATCCATGCATAAATGTGTGAAGATCAATATACATGAATACGCATTATGCGTATTATATTGTTCATATTATCGTATTGTATGAAAAATATATAACCAACATGAGTAAAATTCCAGACTGAAGTTAACAAATCAAAGACTAATGCTTTTGGAATAAGAAGAGTCTACATTTAAAAAAATTAAAAAAAAAAAAAACTCCACAGTCCGCGCACAGCAATATAATTAGCGGAATGGTCATGAGATTGCTGTCACTGTGAATGTGATTTCACCACCCTAGAGAGGAGGGACACGTTAAAAGGTTAAAAACTACACAAGAAAATGGGAGGAAAGCAACAAGCCTTCGAAAATGGTAAAACTCAACACATTCAAAGATCAAACCTTCTTTCTCACTAAAAAAAATTTCTTCCATGCACCCTCTACATTCTAACACTGTAACAGATACACGAAGCTCGTTCGAAGAAATAAAAAATAAAAAGGAAAAAGAAGATAAAAGTTTAAAAAAAAAAAAAACAAGGAGGATAAATAATTAGAGACGAAGTGGAAACAGGTAAATCGAAGACGAAGAAGACTAGACGAACCAGTCCAAGAACGAAGCGAAGGTAGAGAAAGATGACTTGGGTGGAGGAGAGTATAGGAAGGAGCGGCGGCCGCGGCGGTGCCGCGGAAGACAAGAGGCGTAGAGAGAGGGGTTTAGGCAGCTGAGATGTCAGACGTCGGCGAGAAAGCAGAGAGCAAAATCGAAGAGGGCGTCCGGCTTGTCTCCCCAAACCAAGAAACGGCTTCGTTTTGCGCGTAAAAGTGAAATGTAGGCCGTACAGTTTTATCTGTTAAATGAACGGTGATGATATTGTTAAAAATTTGTTCCTTGACATAATGAGGGTGCGCCTTCCATAGAGCTGAGAAAACGGCCCGAGCCTGTTATACTGACCTGTTTAAACTAGTTTAAGTTGAGGATCGGACTTGTATTTTGGAACTTTAAAAAGGAAGTCGTGCTTAAAATGGCTAGCTCTGTAGGATTGAAAAATAAACAGGCCGGCCCTGTAGG